AAGTGTTTACTTTATTTCGCTTGCATACAGGCATACATTGTACGAAATATCTCAATTCTCTATGGCCATTTATCTTGAGGAGGACTTGTTATTAAATCTTTATTTTTTGCAGTAACCGAACTGCAAATGCTCTTATTGATATCATTTTATAATTAAGGTTGCTAGTTTTTAATAAAATAATTGTCTTCGTGTTTTATTAGGTCAAGCTGTTATTTGACTTTAGGCTGTTGGCCAATATCTTGCTTCAGGGTTATGCCCCTATGATGTCTGAATGCTTATCCATTCCGTCTACTATGACTGCGCACCTTTTGGAAGCCCATAATCTTATTCTTTCTACATTGGTCTTTGACTTCATGCAATGTAAATGCTCAAGTCTTAATTCTTGAGATGCAGATTTTCAGCCCCTGTTAACTTATTATCATTGAATTGTTACCATTACGGCTATTTCTATCCATAGCCTTATTTATTGTATTTAAATCATGTCTTTATCTCACTTATATCCAGTCAAAATTAGCCCAGTTTCGCTATAATTTAATTGCTCTTCATTTTGTCTTACTCTTTCCAACATCCATTTTTACCAGGTTATTCGGGAGTGGTATGAAGAAGGAGGGGTTCTTTTACTCGGATATGAAATGTTCCGTCTTCTTGTCAATCCACGCAAGCAACCAAGATCTGGCAGCGAACAGGCTGTAGCTGTTCGTCGACGACGCAAGAAAGCTATTCTTGCCGACATCGAGCATGAGGAACGTAGGGAACGCATGTGGAATGGTTAGTTTGAACGCAATTTGGACTAATCTATTTTGACTATTTATCTGAGTTTCTTTTTAACTTAAATGTGCATGCAAAATTTAACGCTAAAAATCCACTTTGGGTCAATTCAACTCCTTTGCTTTTTAGTTACTGGTGTTTTGATTTTTTAAGAAATCGCATTCTTACGCAATTATTTATTCTTTTTCATCCTGTTACTAGCCGGCTATCATTTTGGTATGTCTTTTATTTTAAGCTGCTAGCAAATTAGCGCTTCTAGACTAGCTTTAATCGTCTACCTTAATTTTCGGCCAAGATTGCGCTAAATTAGTAAAACACTAAACTGCTACTGGAAATGACGATTAGCTGGGCTTTGAAGACTCCCTTAATAGAGTGATACCTGCATACTTTTCATTTCGATTAAGAAGGCGGGTCGAAGGGATTCGTAGACTGGCACCACCAGATACCGCAGGAGGGTTGCCTTGGACTTTCGTCTGTTTAACTGTGCGGAGAAAAACTCGACTCATCATCCTACAACCCCGATGACTCCGTGCTGGGCTTTCGTCTGTCATGTGACGGACATCGTCAGCCAGAAACCATTATTCAATAAAAAAAATCACCAGAAAACACTAAACCGAGAGAGATGGTCAGCTGAGATCCTACTTACTTCTTATATCTTAATTTGCGATCTTAATGAGGCATTTCATGATTTGGTTGGCTAACCTATGCTTGTCCTACATGCATGTAAGTAGGTCAAAGTGTAGGTCGTCCCCCCTTCACCCTTGTGTTGGGATCAGAGTCTGTCATATTGTTACGCAGTCCTCCTTCCCTAGGTCTT